TGGGTTTTTTTTTGGTTTTCTTTTTTTTTTTTTTTAATAAACCTTAATTTAAACACTGACTTGATAGAAAATGAAGACAAGGGGGAAGCTTTTCACAGATAAAATGCGCGGAGTGAGGTGTTTGCTTTGGGGTTTTTTTTGTTAATTCTTTGGTTTTTTAGAACAAGACATTATCGCATTTTTTTGTAGGAACAGAAATTTAAATCAGTGCAGGGTGGGAGAGATGAGTGAGATTATTCTTTTTAGAATAATCTTTTTCAAGCGCAGGTAGTTGAATTTCTCCTTGGCTCAAGGAGCGTACGCCCGAAAATTTCAATACTCTGACGAGTTTAAACATTTAGGTGGAGAGACGGGACACGAGATCAGCAAACCCGCGGGAATATTGCAGGAGGAAACCTCCTCCCGGGGCAGATGAACCCCGCAGCCCGGCTCTGCGGGAGCGCGGAGCTGCTGCGGGAAGGCCGTCGGTCCGTGCGCCCCGGTGAGCCCGGCGCAAGCCTCGGCAAGCCGGTAAAACGGGAGCTCGTCGGGACTGAGAACCTCCCCCCCCGGGCCGTGTCTATTTATAAACACGTGTAAATATGAATTAGACCTTTTCATCGCCCCAGCGGCCTTTCCGCGCGGTTTTTGGGGAAGTGCTTTCCCGGGGAGGCGGCTGACGGCCCGCGGCGGGAGGTTTGAGCGGCTCCTCGGGCAGGACGGACGGCTCCGGCCCCGCCGGGGTCCTGCCCGCCTCTCTCTCCCCCCTAGCCTCCTCTCTCTCCCTCTCGCTGCCCTAGGCCTATTCCTCGGTGCCCGTCAGCAACATGAACTCGGGGCTGGGCTCCATGAACACCATGAACACCTACATGACCATGAACACCATGACGACGAGCGGCAACATGACCTCCGGCTCCTTCAACATGTCCTACGCCAACACGGGGCTGGGGGCCGGGCTGAGTCCCGGTGCCGTGGCCGGCATGCCGGCGGGCTCGGCGGGGCCGGTGAACGGCATGGCGGCCGGGGTGGCCGCCATGGGCACGGCGCTGAGCCCCGGCGGCATCAACGCCATGTCCGCCCAGCCGGCCCCCATGAACGGGCTGAGCCCCTACGGCGGCATGAACCCCTGCATGAGCCCCATGGCCTACACCCAGTCCAACCTCGGCAGGACGCGGGACGCCAAGACCTTCAAGCGGAGCTACCCCCACGCCAAGCCGCCCTACTCCTACATCTCCCTCATCACCATGGCCATCCAGCAGGCGCCCAGCAAGATGCTGACGCTGAGCGAGATCTACCAGTGGATCATGGACCTTTTCCCCTACTACCGGCAGAACCAGCAGCGCTGGCAGAACAGCATCCGGCCATCCAGCAGGCGCCCAGCAAGATGCTGACGCTGAGCGAGATCTACCAGTGGATCATGGACCTTTTCCCCTACTACCGGCAGAACCAGCAGCGCTGGCAGAACAGCATCCGCCACTCGCTCTCCTTCAACGACTGCTTCGTCAAGGTGGCCCGCTCCCCCGACAAGCCCGGCAAGGGCTCCTACTGGACCCTGCACCCCGACTCCGGCAACATGTTTGAAAACGGCTGCTACCTCCGCCGGCAAAAGCGCTTCAAGTGCGAGAAGCCGGCGAACAGCAAAGCCCCTCAGGAGGGCAGGAAAGATCAGGCCGGGGCCTCCAGTTCCAGCTCCAACTCTCCCCTGCACAGAGGCCACAATAAACCCACGCAGCTGGACACCGCCAACTCCCTCTCCAGCTCCAACCCGTCCACCAGCCCCCAGTCTATGGACCACAGCGCGTCGAGCACGGAGCTAAAGACCTCGGCCTCGGCCGCCTCCTCCACCATCAGCTCCGTCCCCGCCTTGGCCTCCGTCCCGCACCCCCCTCACTCCTTAGCCCACGAACCCCAGCTCCACCTCAAGGGCGACCCCCACTACTCCTTCAACCACCCCTTTTCCATCAACAACCTCATGTCCTCCTCGGAGCAGCAGCACAAGCTGGACTTCAAAGCCTACGAGCAGGCGCTGCAATATTCCTCCTACGGTGCCAGCATCCCCGGCGGGCTGCCCCTGGGCAGGCTGCGTGCAAAGGACTGTTACTTTTTAATTGTCTCGCAACGCGTTGTGTCTTGTTATGGTTCCACCACGACCTCCTGCAAAGCCGCCCGCGTCCCGCTTGTACATACCCCCTCCCGCACCCGCCGCTCTCCCCGGAGACCCCCCCCCCCAACCCCCCCCCCTTTCCAGGGGGTTATTAAAAAAGAAGAAAAAAAAAATAATGTTGAGCTTGTAAACTACTTGTTTGTGCTTTCGGCCCCCTCGTCTCCCCCCTTCTGTGCTCTATAATC